CCTTCTACTGTAAACGTCGATGGTAACATTCCACGAAGGTCATCTATTGACATCTTTGAGTCACTGAATTTAAATATTTTCTTAAAGCAATCGTCATTATCTAACCATGCAATAGCTTTGAAGTTTTCATTCGAATATACATCTGCTTCATTAAATGTAAAACCTGACTTCTTTGCAGAGACGACTTTAAAATCTATTGCATTTGTTTCAAAATTATATACTATGGTAACTTCTGAAGGTAATGGATGTCCTTCCGCAGTCAGTTGTTCTCTCACTACCGTTTGAAGCTTTGTGTTAAAAACTTTCATGTCATCTCCTGTGTCTAGGTTCACATACACAGCAACAGGAAAACTATCTTGCTTCTTTGTTTCATCATTATACCTCAAAACATTAAAGTTCTTCAATAATATTGTTCTTCCTGCTGGAATACTTCTAACTTGTCTTATTTCAATAGCTTTCTCACCTCCTACATACTCTACCCAGTGTCTTGGATATTCATAAGTATACTGACTTTCTTGAATTTTGGTAGGTTTCATCATAACGTGTTCATAGTATATCTTTATACTCTTGTCAGTTAGACTCGGTGCTATGTTCTGAATATTTCTGACTTGCATTTTTAATGAAGATAAAATGAAGCATTTAATACATGACGTAGATGAAGACATGAATGAAAGCAGTGAAAAGCTCAACAGTTCTCTCATTCTTCCTTTCAGTAAGGACTATGAGTTCTGTTCAAATGGTGTGTATTTCTATTGTGGAAAGATGGGTTCAGGTAAGACATTCAACCTCATTCGTCATATACTCATAACAGAGCGTTTAGGAAACGACTCTTACTATGACCAAATCATTATATCAGCAACTTCAGACTCTATGGATTCAACAGCGAAAACATTTATGTCAAAAGTTCAAGCCTCTGTCGTTAAAGTTCCAGACAGTGAACTCATTGAATTTCTTCAACGTTACATTCGACGTAAGAGAAATATTATGCTATTGTAGAGTTCATACAGTCAGGAATGCAAAAGACTTCAGAAGAGATGGAAAGAATTATTGACAAACACCACTTACGTCAATACTCAGGAGTTTACGATATGAAACGACTGACAAACTACATTCTATCAAAACTTTCAAAATACCCCTTCAAAAAGTATCCTTCAAACACTCTGCTCGTTTGTGACGACTTCGCCGGAAAAGGTTTAGTGTCAAAAGCAGACTCACCATTAGCTAACATCATAACTAAAGTCAGACATTACCACTTAACTGTAGCAATACTTATGCAAACATGGCGTTTCCTTGCTTTAAACATAAAACGTCTCATAACTGACTTCGTTATCTTTCAAGGTTTCTCACGCTATGACATTGAACTCATTTGGAAACAGTCAGGTATAACATTACCTTTTGAAGAAATTTGGGAAGCATATAAGTCTCTCATCTCTCCTCGTTCATACCTTGAGATTCATATCATGACTAATACCATTAAAGTCAAAAACATTCCATGGGAACGACCAACATTGTTTTAAAGTTTAACCTTCAATTGACTGATGGTAAACAAATTCCATGCATCTCTGTCGCCATTTCTGTTAATATTTTTGCTGTCATTCATATCATCCACTTCCCCATCCGTTAGCTTTTGAGGATATGTGTTAGAATAGCTGTTCTTAAATGAAGGCTTTTCACCTTTGAGAGCATAAACTCTATAACTTTCTGCATACTTTATGTTTGAACCTCCTGAGCCATCATTGACATAAATTTTTATAGGCTTCCACCCTTTGTTCATATTCCTGCTTCTTCCCTTAGCTCTTTTGTTCAGTAGTTCTACATCTTTATACACAGCTCCTGTCTCAGTGAATTCAACAATATTTTCATTCGTTAGCTTTACATTCAAACCCTTGTCGAGTATATTGTTCATTTCATACATATAAAAGGTTTTTATTCTATATGAAATGAGAAGCAAATCCATCTTAGCTGGTGCCGTTAATGTTCCAATTGAACCAACATCAAATGTTGACTCACGAACGACAAACAATATTGTCATAAAGAACTATAGTTCAGAGTGTTTGAAAGAAAAAGAACCAGAACTTAAGTCGGGAGGGCTCAAAGAGCCCATCTTGGCGCATGGCGCCGTGAATTTAAACTCAGCTTCAAACGCTAACGCTACATCAGATGTTAAGTTAGAGTATCCACCACTGGACCAAATTCTTTCAAGAGAAGCCAACGACAACCCTTACACAAATGTTCAAACAAATCCTTCAGATAACGTAGACCATTACCTTCTTCAGTTATACCAAACAATTTTACTCAAAGACGATAAGAAGCTTTTGACAAATCTTATAAGCAAGAACCAAATAATTCTAACAAAGGAGGACCTTGAAAATGTTATCTCACGAATAACAGGGAAACAATGTGTCATTGACTATCTCGACCCTGAAATCGAATGCTGTGGTCAAACTCCACTATTCATGAAAATAGGTAACATCCGCATCATTGAAACACCAGGAACTACAGGAGTTGAGTTTAAGTATAAATATTCGAACGAGTATACAAAACTATCTACTTACTATAAGCTTTGCTTGAAATATGTTTTAGTAAATTAAAGCAGTCAGGAGGGCTCTTTGAGCCCATCTTGGCGCTTTGCGCCGTCAGTCAAAAAAATTCAAGTTAGCAATTTGTAATATCTGTCCAAAACTTCTTCAACAGTATCGAACTCATCTTCATAATGCAAACCTAATCTTATTGACTTGGTGCAGTTTTCACTAACACAATATAGCGCTTTGCGCTCGGCGCCTTTGACGCCTTTTTCTGTTCTCTTGACTGGCATAACTAACTCATTTGTTTCATCAAACAGCAACAACCAAAGTTCATGACCTAATACATAACATTCATACTTTATATTTTTAGCTCTGAGTTCTCTTGTAAGCTGTTGCATTTAATATTTTCTAAAAAGTCAACTTCAACAGTCATTCGCACTGGTGCCTTCAGTTCTACAGGCTCTCCTTGAAAGTCAACAAGTCTGAATTGCATGTCTTTCAAATTATGAGGACTAATGCGAACCCATTTACCTAAATGAGTTGCTATGACAGGAACGTTTGGAATGAACATTGAATTGACTGCATAACAGAAGGATTTATATTCTACTGAACCTTTACTATTAACTCCTGAAATACCTGTGACATTAGCTATTTTTGACTCAACGTACAAACAATTACCATAACATACGTATGGAACAGATTTCATCTCAATCGTTTTGTCAACACTTTTCAAAGGAAATGTCATATGGTATGCTCCCAGAAGAAGTTGTACTCTATGACTCATTCTTGGTATCTTGAACTCTTTCTTGCTACTGAACTTCAATGTTCCCTCAGAAGAGAGTTCGACATCTATGTTGTCAATAGTTTCTTCATTTATGAGAGTATCTATGACTCCAGCAATTTTATCTATTCTGTACTCGGCTCTGTTAGGAAATGTTACAACACTTCTTTTGTCATCTATTTCAAACTCCATGAAATCTGTTTCATCTGTTATGACAAAAGTTGCGATAGTATTGAAGTCAACAACTCTGAAAGCAAGCGCTTCATTCTGAAGACCTAAGTTTGTTTGTAGCTTTACTGTCCCGTATTCGTTTGGGTCTGTACTTTGCAAATAGAACAACATTTTATTCTCATTAAAATATGACTATTGCTGCATATGCGTATGAAACAAATGAAGCAAGAAGAGCACATGAACTAGTAAACGAAAACTCAACTTTAACCATTGAAGGCAATGATTTAGTCATTGACGATGGAAAAACTAAAAAAGTCATTGATTTCGATACTTTTAACACTTATGACCCATTCATTACAACAAGCAAGGTTCCCATCATAAATGATGGAACGGTGCAATATATAAATTCTACAGTAGATGCCTCATTAGTGAAAGTATTAAATGTTCTCATTGAATTGTTAAAGAGCTTTCGATTTGACGACAACATTAAATGCCTAAAGAATTTAGTCATGAATGAGAAACAAATTCTCGGCGTTGCTGGTAGCAGTAATGATGTACACCTTATGACATTAGAATATTATAACGAACATAAAGATGAACTGAAAGGAGAGAAGGGTGACACCGGACCTCAAGGACCACAAGGAATACAAGGAATACAAGGAATACAAGGAATACAAGGACCTCAAGGCGAAAACGGTTTGGATGGAAAGGATGGAAAGGATGGAAAAACTGCTAAATCATGGATATGGGACCTTATAAATACTGGTTTAACAGCTGCTTCATATGGAGTTCTTCAATACCAAATCGGAAAGATATGGGCGGTACTTGGTGAAGAAGTTTTAAATGACGTTAAAAATGCTTTGAACTTCATTTCAAATGGTTCGGATACTATTAAAACTTTATCTGGTTGGATGCAAGAAACAAGGAGTCAAATAGATACTGTAAGACGTATAGCAAACAATGCACGTACGGGATTGGATACTTTACGACAAGCACAAAATACACTAAAGGAAGCAAATGATATTCTTGGCTCAGTATCAGACATGCATGAAGATTGGCTTAAAGGTATTGACAAATCTTTAAAAAATCACAGTCAGTCTATTGCTGACTACAAGAAAAGTATAGATTTTTTACATAGTGCTATGGACGTACATGATGGAAGCATAAGGAACTTACTTAATGCTAACAATAACTTACCAGGAACTATTAAAGCATTTATAAAGTCCTTTGTAAAACCCGGTGCTCTAACATTTAGGTCTTTGAGAGCAAGAGCATTGAAGTCAAGAGATGCAGAAACTCCAACAGAACCTACAGAAGGAACTGAAACAACAGAAACTCCAAAAGAACCACCAAAACCAACAGCTAATGAAATATTGTTCGAATATTTTCCAAGGTACTCTGTTCTCATTGCATACATTCAAGAAATACTTAAGAAAGCAGACTTGACTTTAGGAGATGATGAAAGTTCTGTATATCTTTCGTTCCAGTTTCAAATAGCAGAACTTTTGAGACAGATATGCTTAATGTATGACAACATCTCTGATTTCACAAGATATGATGACGACCATGACCCCGAACATGGTGAAGAAGAAGTTTTACAAACATCCATTAAGACAGGAAAGGTTTTAACTCAAAGTCTCATTATTGACACCAAAGATGGCGAAGTGGACGTTCTTCAAGAGCTGAAGAAAAATACTTCTTCGGGAGGTGGTGGTAGGCATGAACTTGAAATAAATGAGATAGAAGAGAAATTAGCCGAAAAAGCAGATAAAGAACATAAACACAATATCTCCGATATAAATGAACTTCAAGCTACATTAAATAGTAAAGCGGACAAAAATGAACTTGACGCAATGAACAAAGTTTTGAAATCTCATAAACACAACATCTCCGATATAAATGAACTTCAAGCTACATTAAATAGTAAAGCGGACAAGAACCATGTTCATTATATAACTTCAGACGAACAGATTATAACGGACTACCATGGATATTTAACACGAAGTGATGAAGCGAAGACAAAAAATGTTAATGAAAGAAGATATAAATACATTCGTGCTAAAGGTTATGACATAAGCTGTACTGTACAGTATGATGTAGCTAAAGCACCAGAAGCATTTGGTTATACCGGTGAAATTTATGCCTCTACTTTCAATGTTAACGGTGTATTAGTTGAACCAAGATTTATGTTAAGAGTTAAGGCAAAAATAACGTTTGAAGATGCTATTAAAAGTAAAGCTGACAAAGTTGAACTCGAAGCAACGAACAAAGTTTTGAAATCTCATAAACACAACATCTCCGATATAAATGAACTTCAAGCTACATTAGACAGTAAAGCTGACAAGAACCATACACATAAATCCTTCACTACTGTTAGAGCAGACGACATAATATTGAACTTTGACCTTGGTTCAAGTGCACCATTAGAAAATCCAAGTACAAGCGTAAAAGATACTCTTAACAGTTTAGATAAGAGTTGCAGGAACATTGAAAGTCATGCCAGAAACTTTGAAGCACATGAACTACCAACAATGTTAGATAAGAAAGCAGACAAAACTTATGTGGATGCAGAACTAACAAAGAAATTTTCGAAACCAGATACAATGACATTTACAACAGAAATTATAAATGGTGAACCAGCAACTCCATTTGAATTTGTTAGAGGTCTTCAACCAGATACTTTTGAATTTTTCTTGGATAATTCTATTGAACTAACATTACATTATAAAAGTGGAACAAATGCAACATTTCATCCGGGAGATACATTCCAAATGGTATTTAATGACATAAGTTCTTTAGAATATGTTTATAGAGTTATGAGCATATATGATTTAATATATCCTATAGGAGCTGTTTATACGTCTATGAATCCAATAAATCCAAACACTTTATTTGGTGGTAGATGGTATGAAATAGTTGACAGTTTTCCATTCTACACTAATACTCAGTCAATGAAGATGGGAGGTTCAAAGAAAATAGGTATTGAAAACCTTCCTTCACATATGCATAGGTTCAGTGGAAGAACATCTGTGGAAGGAAACCATTCACATTCAATAACAAAAAGAGGTTATACAAATCTTGCAGCGGGTTCGGATAGACAGGGAATGCATAGATATGATATCACAACTGACCCCAAAGATGTTAGCACAGGTATTTTCTGTGGAACTGCAGGAAATCATACACATGTTGTAGCTGGTATTACAGACCCAGCAGGTAATGGAAAAGATTATATGCCTCCTTATATAACAATGCACGCTTGGATACGAGTTGGTTAAAATCTTTAACTTTACATAAATGAGCTTGAAAGAAGTATTCGAACAACATCCATGGAGGTCATTTAAGAAATTCAATGAAGCTGCAAAGAGTTGGGGATTTACTAACAGAGCTGAAGTGAAAAGGTTCTTTGACAAAAATGTTGTACATCAAACAAAAATAAACCCTTACGACTACTTTTTACCAATTTACTCCAACACTCCTGACGCATACCAATTTGACACTCTCATTCAAAGCAGAAAAGGAGGACATAAACCATTCCTCATCTTCATAAATGTTAACACTCGTAAAGCATATGCATATCCAATGAAAAATAAAGGAACTCGTGAAGTGTTAAGAGTTTTACAAAAGTTTGTAGCAGAACATAACCCAAGTACTTTAACATCAGACCAAGACAGTGCATACCTCAGCAATGAAATCACAGAATTTCTCATTAAGCATAACATAACTCACTACACTACTGAAGACCATAACCATAACATACTCGGCATCATAAACCGCTTCATAAGAACGCTCAGAGATTTAAATCAAGAGCGAGACTTTACCGAAGAAACAATGAAACATTTTCTCGAAGTATATAATTCCTCAACACATTCTACAACAGGACATACACCAAATTCAATGACACAACAACAAGAAGAAAAGTATATACAAAAGAAACGAAGCCAAACACAAAATATCAGAAATTCAACACAATTTACCCTCATTCCTGGTACAAAAGTTCGTGTAGTTCTTGACGACAAACCGTTGACAAAGAAACGTTTAAGGTTAAGTAGAAACTATTATATCGTAGACTCTACACAAGGTAATGGATATCTTATAAAAGCTGCTGACGACTCCATAGCATTTTACCCTCGACATAAGTTAGTTGAAAGTAGTAATGGCAAACTTGCTGAAACCATTGACGAAGCAAAGCGAGGAGTGGTTATTGAAATACTTGGCTACAACATAAACGATGACACTTATAAAGTAAGATATGAAGGAGGTGTTGAAGATGTTATACCATCTAAGAACTTGAGAGAGTCAAAGCCAACACATCTGGGACCATTAGAGCGGGAGTACTGGAAAGACAAAAATATGCCAGAAAGAATAAGAAAATTCTTCTAAACTTTTTCATTAGATGTAAATCAGACATGAATGAGAACAGTCATGATATCATTAATGGTACCATTTATTTACACCAAAAAATAATGTTTATGTTAGAATGTTAGATCTAACACGTTTTCTAACCACTTTTCTAACATGGTCTAAAACTCTCGAAAATCATGAATTTTTGACATTTCCTTATGAAAGAAAAATAACGCTAATTTTTTTCTAAGAAAAATTTTTATCTTGTATGTAAAGATATGATTTCAACAATCGGCACAACAACAATTCAAACTACAGCACCAAACTCGTTAGTCATGAATCCAACATCTATGTTAGTAGAGATGAAAAGCTTCATTCCTTCTTCATATACTTTCGAAACAAAAATCCAGAAGATAAAGCAAGAACTTTTAACAAGTAATTTAGACTGTAGTGCGAAAGATGAAACAAATGAACAGTATCTTTATGA